TTAAATGGCATCATGCAGCAGGTAGTCTACTGGATGATGCAGAGGGTTTGGTGGGAACAGCAAGGGCTTTGGAGTTGTAAAGATGTAGACTCAGAACCAGGGGCTGCCACTTCCTACTTTTGTGATCTTGGGCTACTTATTTCACTTGTGAGTTCCAACTTTTTCAACTAATGGGGTTTAAATTAATACCTACTTTTTTTTTTTTTTTATCCTCACCCGAGGATATTTTTCCATTTTTTGTACAGATAGCGTGGGAGGGAGAGAGAGAGAGAAACATCGACGTGAAGGGACACATCGAGTGGCTGCCACCCGCACGACCAACCAGGGCCGGGGACAAACTGCAACCGAAGTACGTGCCCTTAGCGGGAACCGAACCCGGGTCTCTCCGGACCGCAGGCCGACGCTCTAACCGCTGAGCCAAACTGGCCAGGGCTACTTTTTTTTTTTTTTAATGAACTTTGTCAGACAGGCCCTTGCTATTCTTATTTTTTTAAATATTTTTTTACTGATTTGAGGGAGAGAGAGAGAGAAAAACATTGATGTGAGAGAGAAACATCAGTCAGCTGCTTCCAGCCGGCACCTTGACCAGGGACCATACCCGCAACCTGGGCATGTGCCCTGACCTGGAATGGAACCTACAACCCTTCCATGCACAGGATGATGCTCAACTGACTAAATCATACCTGCCAGAGCTAATACTTACTTTTAAGGCTTATTTTTAAATTGTGGAAAATTTGCAGTATATATGATACACTACTTAGTATATAGTAGATGCTCAATAAATGATGCTAATGTTAGTATTATCTTGTTTTTATCTCTGCCTTTGGTATAAATGTTATGAATTTGTATTTTCCTGATAATCCCAATAATTTTTCTGTGTGATTAAGTATTTCAGAGCCCTCCTACTGAGGGCCCTGTCTTGAAGACTGATGATAAGAAGTGACCCCAACCTCAAGGGCACAGGTGCGAGTTCTGTCCTCTAGGGAGGTCAAACATAGGATTAAAACATAACACTTAACCGAATTGAGTCTTGAAGACTAGGTTTAGATAAGGGGACAAAGGTCCTAGACTTTGTAGAAGGTGGCCTGAGCACCTGAGCCTAGAAAATCCTCCAGGAAGGGGAGTAGGGAGAGGGACAACTTGATCTTAAGACTTAACCAACATGAAATTTGAATAAATGAGGAAAGGGAAGAAAATATTCATGAATAAAAAGAGTCCATAAAGTCACAGAATGGACTTTATTGGACAGTGAATAAGACCATCTGGCTATATATGGATAAATGGTATTTTAAAAGGCCAACTATAAAAGTGGGCAAGGAGCAGATTGTGGGGGCACTTTATATCCCGCTATGAAGTTTGGGTAAGAGGAGATGGAGAAAGGTGATTTGAAGAAGAGCATGAATAAGCACTTCTGGCTGGATGACCACTCTCAGGCAGTGTGCTGAGGGCCAAGGTTCAGTCGTTGATTCCACAAACATGAAACCCCTTCAAGGCCAGAGTTGGAATGTGGGAGAATTTAGATTCACTGACACCTCAGATCCCTAAAATTGCAGGGACAGAGGACAGGGGATTAGCCAGGAGGGCCTTAGACCCTAGGTGGCTCGGGTAAGGTCACTTCTAGGAGTTCCCAGTCAGTGCCAGGCAGAGACACAGGGAGTCCAGTGGCAAGAAGTGTTCAGGGCCGAGGGGCACTTGGTGTTGGGTGGAGAGGAAGCTCAGGAGCAGAGCTGCCGGCAGCAGAGGGAGTATGCTGGGACACGGTGGGATCTTCTCCTGGCCCAGGGGCACTTGGTGTTGGGTGGAGAGGAAGCTCAGGAGCAGAGCTGCCGGCAGCAGAGGGAGTATGCTGGGACACGGTGGGATCTTCTCCAGGGTGCGGGAATCAGAGCAGGCCTCTGGAGGCTGAGAAAGTGTAGTTTGGTGAGCTGGGGCAGGAGAGCTGGTAGTGAGATCCTAGGCTCCGGGAAAGGCATGAAGGCAGTTTCGGAAAAGGGGTGGGGAGTGGGGACCCCAGTGCAGGCAGTCTGAGAGCTGTGGGGAGGCGGCTGGCACAGTGCCACACCTGCTGCTCAGTCCGAAAGCGGGGCAGGCTTAGCTGTGGGAGCTGGGAACCAGGGGCCGGAAAGAAAAGGGGCTCAGGAGACACGTTCATTCCGGGTCTTAATTGGTTCTCATTTCCCTGCTGACTGTTCACCTCTGCAGACTCTGGGCTCCAGAGGGCAGAGAGGAGCTGTTGTACTTGGAGCAAACTCAGGCTAACAACAGCCTCACTGCCCCCAGCCTACTCCTACCTTGAGAAGGGCCATCCTGGGCTGCTGATCAGGCCAGGCCAAGTCCCTCTTGTTTCCCCTCCTCCCATTCCCATCCAGCTAGATTCTGCTGCCTGGCTGGTGGGGTCTGGGCCAGCCTGTAACACCTGCCGGGATCACTGGGGTGGTGGGTGGGAGGTTGTATCTTGTTGATACAGTCTGCTTCAGCTACGGTGGGAAGCTCAGAATCGGGTGTGAAACCCCAGCTGGTAACCTATGTATTTTAGACAATTTTCAAAGAAACCAAATCCCCACCCGCTAGAAAACGTGGTTGTGCCCTTGGGCAGTGCAGAAGTGTACTTGCTATGAAAAGCGAGGTGGGAAATGGTGGGGAATCAAGATTTCCTCTGTAGGTTTTTGATTGGTTAGATCCTCTAATTTTTCTAAGAAGCCCCAGTGAAGCCTCCTGAAAACATCTGCTGGTTTCGAAGGGTAATGGAGACCCTCCCTCATGCCCTGGGCGGGTGGTGTGTGTTTGATTTGGGATTTGTCGGTCTGGAAAGCTGAGGGCTCTGGGCAGCCCAGGCCAGGCAGATTTCCCCCACCTGCCCAGCATGCAGCCCCACCCCCAGCCCAGTCCTGCACCCCCAGGCTGCAGACCCCAGGGCTGTGGCCTTCATTTCAAGCCGGGTCCCAGGGGGCTGAGTAGGGAATGAGGGCAGCTGATAAGCCTGACAGTATTGACTTTATGGGGAGTATTCAATGAATTTACTTTCTGCAAGAAGGCTGCACTCTTATCTGCCGCCCACAGAGCATCTAAATCCTCATCTAGGAGACGCAGTGATGAATCATGTCCCCATAAAAGACCAGAGAATAAAGAGGAAAAGGGGAGTTGCACCCCACCCCTTTCTTTTCTCTAGTACCTGGTTCTGCACTCCCCACCCCTTGCTTTCCAACTGCCCTTGGGTCCATTGGCTGGAAATAGAAGCACTCACAGCTCCAAGCCTACAGAGCGAAGGCCAAGCCGGCCTGGTGTAGAGAGGCTCAGCAGCCGGGCACACCCAGGGCTGTGTGTCCCTCTCATCGGTAACTATGGGAAGAAAAACTCACTCAGTCGAAGCAGTTATGTGCCCTGCTTTCTGCTGCAATAGTCAACATTTGCTCTGGACAGAAATACTCCCCTGGCCTCAACACCAGGTGTCTTGGTGGGAAAATATGTGCCTGTGAGTGTGTGGGTGTTACCAAGGGGTCCTGGGTCTGGGGCTGGGGGTGGAAATTAATTGTAAGAGAGAGCCTTACAAGATGCTCAAGAGAAGCTTTTCTTTCCCGCTCTGACAGCTCCCTCATCCAGCCCTGCGCTCTGTTTGCTTCCAATAGTGGGAGGAAATAGATGCCTCTTAGCAGCCCGGGGCCCAAAGCAACCGGAGGGGGAGAGAGGAGCCAAGATGCTGGGTTGGGCAAATGAAAGGAAAAAAAAAAAATGGAAGTACCCTTTGGAGCTATTCAGATTCCCCATCTAGGTAGGTATTGGATAGAGTTTCTGGTGATAAAAGTAAAACTATTTATTGAGCAACTTTGATCTTATTAGATACCTGTTAGCACCATTTGTAAGCATTTGCTCCAAACCATTAACATGTACATTGACTCACTGACTCTTCACATTAACTCATGAAATTGGTATTATTTCCACTTTACAGCTGAGAAAACTGAGGCTGGGAGAAGTAACTTGCCCAGGATGCCAGCTAGTGTTGTTAGAGCAGCAGTTTGAACCAAAGTCAGTCTGCCCCCTCAGCCAAGTCAGAGGCCTTCTCGGCTCCTCTTAGCTACCACACTAAACCACCTCCCACTTGGTATTTCTCAACCTTCTTGCACTTAATGCACAGCAAATCACTAAGTATGTGTTATTCCCATTTCATAAGAAACAGGCTATTTTTAAAAAATTTCTATCAGCTTAGACCTGACTGTGTAGTTCGGTTGGTTAGAGTGTTGTCCTGATATGCCAAGGTTGCAGGTTCAATCCCTGGTCAGGGCACATACAAGAATCAACCAGTGAATGCATAAGTAAGTGGGACAACAAATGGATGATGCTCTCTCTTTCTCTGTCTCTCTCAAATCAAGCAATCAAAATTTTTTAAAGATAAAAATTTGGCCCAGCTGGTGTGGCTCAGTGGTTGAGCATCGACCCAGGCACCAAGAGGTCACTGGTTCGATTCCCGGTCAGGGCACATGCCCAGGTTGTGGGCCCGATCTCCAGTGGGGGGCATGCAGGAGGCGGCCAATCGATGTTCTCTCTCATCTATGTTTCCATCTCTCTCTTCTTCTCCCTTCCTCTCTCTCTAAAATCAATAAAGAAAAAAAATGTTTTAAATAAATAAAAATCTGATCAGCTTATTAAATAGGTGGCCAATTCGATTGAGAAAGTGGCCAAGCAGCAGAGAACTTCTAATCCCTTCATAAATTCATTTACTTACAATCCAAACCGGTATCCTCATCACTGTGCTTCCGCCAGGCAAGGCCCAGGGTTAGACCGCAGGGAAAACAGGAAATGGAAGAAAGGGCACCCACAGCGCAGTGCTAAAGGACTGCACAGGAAACCTTTGCAATTCTGCTTTCAGCCTGTGGATGGAGCTCTCTCCCTCACCTGCTTCTCTCTTCAGACAGGGCTCCTCACATTTGCACCCAGCTGAGGACCAACCCTAGACATAGTGTTCACTGCTTCTTCAATGGAGGATGTCTGGTAACAACCGGGCAGCTGTGGCACTCTCCCAGGTGAGGATAACCATTTACAGAGTGATATTGTTTCTCCTCCTTTGTCAATGGAAGTCATTGTATGCCGCTGGGGGGCTGTGGGTGGGGAGATGCAGTGGAAGGCAGGTCTGTTTCCTTCTGAATCAGTATTATTTTTTCTTTATTGTTCTTCTCTATGTGTGTCCAAGGCCACAAAACCAGAGTACATCAGAGACTGTGGCCTACGGATTCTAGCATCTTTTCTCCCATGGCTAGGGAATGACCTCGGGGAGGTGCGGGGGGGGGGAAAAAATGATGCTGAAACAGCCAAATCTCTCTTTTCTTTGAGGGAAGATGAAAGCCCTCACCCCTCCCGCACTCCTCTTAGTGCGCAGGTGGAGGTGTGGACCATGGCAGCGTATTTTCCCTTCCCGATGCCTGGTTTCCCACATCACCTGCTTTCATCGCAGCTATTGCTGTATTATTATTTTTATTTGGGGGAAGTTAGGGTAGGGGAGGCAGGAAGAGTCTCAGGTAAGCTGATCACTAGTTGCTCCATGGGCCCTGTGAGTGGAGTGACATTAACATCCGTGAAAAGGTACAGGCTCTGCCGGCTCTGGAAAGGTGTTTGACTCGAATTGCTGGTGAAACAGTGTCAGCTCCTGTGAAGGCTTGTTTCTTTGGGCGTATATTTTAGTATTTAACTTGTTTGCGAGTGGTATCTTGCTGTGTCAAGGATGATCACTTGTTGTATAACTTTACAATCAAAATATGTAATTCCTCATATTAAACAAGAAAACTAGGTGAAATGCCCAGCATGATACCTAGTAGTTATTGCTAAATCATGGGGGTGCCTGGCTCAGAGCTGGTGCTCGATGCCACCCCCACCCAGGTCAGGCTGTCATCCCCCCTCGTCTGCATCCCTGTCTTAACTTCTTCACTGGTGTCCCCACATCCTTTCTTGGCCCCCATTATATAGCAGCCAGAATGCTCTTCTCCTTAAAAAAACAATCACCAAAAATCCGTTTCCATGGCCTTGGAAGCATTCACTTCTCTGACAGAAAGCAGGGCAGACTAGAGGCAGCTCTTTGGAGAAATGATGCCACGCTGTCTTGCATTCATTCATTCAACAAATGTCTTATCAAGCAGCTTTTATGTGTAGTGAACACGGTTCGTGGGATCTAGTGATTAATGAAGCTAAGTCCTGGCCCTCCTGACATTTACAGTGCAGTAGGCAAGCCAAGCAAGTAAACTACAATGGATTTGTTTTGAAGAATTCAACATGGAGATGGGCTCCTTTAAAAAACCAGAGAGTCAAAGCAATTTAAATTTACCAAATAAAGTTTCACAGAAAGTGAAACCTTTGACCCAGAGTTGCACCCACACACCTGTGATTAACTATAAAAGAATGGGCACAGTTTCATTTGGAAAATGCAAATTTGAAAGAATATAAAACGAAATGGAATTCATGACAAAAAGCAAGAGTGGTCATTTTATGTTGATATGGGGTACAATTCTCTAAATTAGTAAGACTTCATGAATCTTTACATCAAAAGATATAACCATCTAAAACAAACCCTCCTGGAAAAACCAAAAGGAAAGAACAGACATGAAGTAGTACAGAGATATTTTTATACCATGTTAACAGATCAAATAGACCCAAACTCCCAAGAATACAGAGGATAGGTTTAATGGATATATATAGAAAGCATTTTATTTTTGAAACAGAGGATATACCTCCTTTGCTATTACCTATGGAATACTTATGAAAGTTGATCATATGTCTTACCAAAGAGAAAATCTCAATAAATTTCCTAAAGAAAAAATGTACGAGGTATATCTTTGACTACAGTGCAGTACAATTAGAAGTTATTAGCAAATGGTTACCAAATAGTACAACAATAAGAAATTTTTTAGAAAACACTTGCTAAAAGAAAATTTTAAATAAATGACAGATGTTAGAAGCGAATGACAAAGATTCTGCAAATGGAAACATAGAATGACACCAAAGGTATATCAGAAGAAAATTTGTAGTCTGAGATGCTTTTCTTACTAAACAAGAAAGAATGAAAATTAGTAAAATAAACACTGAATCTAAGAATGGAAGGTGGAGAGAGAACAAAACAAGCGTAAGCAAATGGAAAAGAGCAGATTTAACAAAGATATAGTAGAAATTAATGCATTCAAAAATCATAAAAATGATGAATCACAAAGGTAGTTCTTCTTAAAAAAAACACAACAATAAAATATACAAGCGTTTGCAAAGCCAATGAAGAAGAGAGAGAGAAGTCATGAACGCAGAACATGAAGAATGAGAAAGGCAGTAACACAAACACAGAAACTTTATTTAAATCATTGAATAACTATGTAACACTTTATTAATGATTCTGAAAATGTCGGAGTTTATATGTCAAAGTAGCAAAATTGAGTTAAGAGAAAGAGCACTTGTAGGGATAGAACCTACCCAGGATTTACTACTAGATTCTATTAATTGTCAAGAACAAGCTAATTCATGTGATGAACACCGGTGGATGCAGACAGTTGGTGGATAGAAGGGATGGGTGGATGGGTAAGTGGAGAGAAGCCCTGGGGCCTGCACATGCAGAATTGGGCTAAGGATGAGGTGGAGGACGGGAAGAGTTTTCAGACTGCATGACCTCTAGCCAAATGAGCCTGGCCCACAACCTTCTGGGCTGACAGAAATCCCCTCTGAGAACCTCAAGTTTGGTCTTTCCTGAGGCTGACAACCCCTGCACACAGGACCAGGGGTCCAGTGTCCACAGCCTAATCCAGTCAGATCAATTAAGCCAGTAAAACCAGATCCTGGCAATGCCCAAGGCCTGCTAGCGATCTGCCCTCCCCAGCCCGCTCTGCCCTCCCCAGGAGCCCGCAGGTGCAGTCTCTCCAGGGGGCGGTGAGAGCCATGAATAGTAAGGGTTTTAGCTCAAGCACACTGAGGCATTTAGCTGCCCAAACCTAATCCCCAATAATCGGATTATGTAAATTCCTACTTCAACCCCTTCCCCTGCAGGACTAGCCCCTGAACTCTCCACCCTGGGAGACAGGACGGGAGAGGGCCCACCAGTCCGAAGTCACTACTAGTGTAGTGGTGCATCCAAACTGTTTCCCCACGTTAAAAATCGCAGAACCAGTAGTCATATGTAAGACAGTGTTGAGAAGAAAACTATTGTCAACTCTGGCTCCAGTATGCCAACCTAATTGCACTCCTCTCTCTGTAGTTCTCACCCCATCTCTGTCCTTGTCCAACTGTACACAGGTCCTATTGCATAGCTTATTGTTTCACCCAGTTGCCACATTTTTTTTTTTTTTACAGCTGTAGTCTATGCCGTTAAGAGAATATGTTACCTCACAGGTTTTTGGCTAAGATGAAAGGTAAGATAGGTTCTTGGTTTAAATTCTAGCTAGAGCTCTATCAGAACTGGTATACTGCAGGGCAGGGTGGGAAGCACTAGCACCATGGGGCAGAGTGCCCCTCCACAGCCCACCGAGGAGACAGGGGGCAGAAAGAGGACGAATCGGCGATGTTCATGGCACACAGTAGGTGACAAAGGCCCCTCCTGTGCCTGTGTACACATAGATCAATTCATTCTCTCAACCTACCCGCTCTTTGCTCTGCCACCGGAATGAACTCTAACCTGTAAATTTAAACATATTACTCCCGTGTTCAAGGCACACAGTTGCCTTCGTGTGGACTGCCCTCCCCTACTCCTACACGTGTAATTCCTATTCAGCCTTTCCCACCCAGCCTTGGGTTCTGTGCCTTTTCCCACATTATAGACCACACTCTGGGTATCTGGGACCCCTGAAACTAGACCACACTCTGGGTATCTGGGACCCCTGAATCTAGACCACACTCTGAGTATCTGGGACCCCTGAAACTGGACCACACTCTGGGTATCTGCGACCCCTGAATCTGGACCACACTCTGAGTATCTGGGACCCCTGAAACTAGACCACACTCTGGGTATCTGGGACCCCTGAATCTGGACCACACTCTGGGTATCTGGGACCCCTGAAACTAGACCACACTCTGGGTATCTGGGACCCCTGAATCTGGACCACACTCTGGGTATCTGGGACCCCTGAATCTGGACCACACTCTGGGTATCTGGGACCCCTGAAACTAGACCACACTCTGAGTATCTGGGACCCCTGAATCTGGACCACACTCTGGGTATCTGGGACCCCTGAATCTAGACCACACTCTGGGTATCTGGGACCCCTGAAACTAGACCACACTCTGGGTATCTGGGACCCCTGAATCTGGACCACACTCTGGGTATCTGGGACCCCTGAATCTGGACCACACTCTGGGTATCTGGAACCCCTGAATCTAGACCACACTCTGGGTATCTGGGACCCCTGAAACTAGACCACCCTCTGGGTATCTGGGACCCCTGAATCTGGACCACACTCTGGGTATCTGGGACCCCTGAATCTAGACCACCCTCTGGGTATTCGGGACCTCTGAACTTCTGCTCAGATGGCCCTGATTCCAGGTTCAGAGCCTACACGGGGCTCCTCCTCAGGTCCCTGTGAGCTGGGAGTCCACATCACACACACACACAGACCCGTACAGAACAGGACAGAACTGGAGGTAGGAACAAATGGGGATGCAGATGGGTCAGGAATCTGCATTTGTACCCTTGTCCCTAGTCCCACAAATGTCAGACAGAGGCAGCCCTGCCTCAAGGCCTCATTTAAATGCCATCCCTCCCACAAGCAATCTCTGATCCTCCAGCTATTACCCTTTGCCTCCGCAACTGCAGTGTCATACTCTCTGCACTCGGGACATCTGTCTTGTTGTTAGTCAGTTTTGTCATGTCCTCTCCTTCCCAAAGGTTGTGAACTCCTTGAAAGCAAATGCAGTGTTTTCTTGCCTTCCTGCCCCCTGACAACCTAGTAATTCTTGCATCAGCTTTTTTATTTATAACAAGAATTGTATTCATCCTTTTTGTGAGAAGAGAGACAAACAACCCCAAAGTCTCAGTGGCTTATAACAGCCCAGATTTATTCTTCACTCATGTTCCGTGAGGATTGTGGTTGGCTGTGGGTTTGCTCCATGGCTTCCAGGCTGAAGGAGCAATCCCAAATCTGACTTGCTCATGCCTAAGCCAAGCAGCAATCACTCTTATATGTGAAGGTCTGCTCACACTTCATTGGTGGATGCAAGTCACATGGCCAATCCCAGAAGCGGGTGGGGAAGGGCTCTCCCTCCACCTAAGGGGGAGGCACTGCCAGTCATTTGACAAATATAATTCTGTCACAGGGAAGGGAGTTAGTAGTTGTCACAATAATAATGCAATCTACCACAATAAAATGTACAATATTCTGACTGAGTGCTAGGTACAGTGCTAAATATTTTACCTGTTTTGTTTTCCTCACTTGCTGCGTACAATCCTATCATTGTCCCCATTTTAGAGATGAGGAAACTGAGGCAGGGAGAAGTTACATAATTCACCTGGGATTGCACAAGTGGGTAGACCAGGGATTTCAACCTGGGTATGCAACTTCAGAGTCCTTTGTTCTTGTCTACTAAGCTGTGATGTATTTGTGCATTTATTGTGTCAAATCCTATGCTGGATCATTCAGAGAGGGCAATGGCTAGAAATTCATCACGAATCCATTCATTAATCAACCAATATTTGATGAATGCCTCTTCACTAGGGCTGGGGAAGAGACAGCAAGATAAATAAGTACAATATTGCTAAATGAAGATGAGGGACAAGGAGAAGAATAAAGCAGGGCAGGAGAATGAAGAGTACTTGTGGGTATGAAGGTACAATTTCAGATATTGTGGTCAGAGAACGGACCTCCACTGAGAAGGTGGCATTGGAGCAAAGACCTGAAGAATGACAGCTTCTTGAGGGCAGGAATTTGTGTCTGTTTTGTGTGAAGTTGAGTTCCCAGTGCCTAGGACAGGAACTGGCCTATAGTTGGCACTCAGTAATAATTTGGTTTTTTTTTGTTGGTTTTTTATTTTTTTAATTAATTTATTTTTGTTACAGAAGTTTCTCCATTTCCCCCCATTGACACCCTCCTCTCGTTCCCGCCCCCACCCCAACATTGTTGTCTATGTCCATTGGTTATGCTTATATGCATAAGTTCTTTGCTTTATCTCTTCCCTTCCCACTGCCCCCATTGGTTGGAAAAAATGAAAGGAAGTGATGGAGAGAATTATGTGGATAACTCGTGCTAAGAGGGTTGCAAGCAGAGAGAACAGTGCAAAGGCCCTGAGGCAGGGGGGTGTCTGGTATGTTGCTGAAATAATGGAGGTCAGAGTGGCCAGAGCTGAGTCAACACAGGAGAGAAGGAACAGAGAGGTCAGGTAAAGGGTATCTCCAGAGCCACTGTGCAGAAGTTTAGCTCTGAATGAAGTGGAGAGACACCGAGGGTTTTGAGCAGAGAAGTGATGGAATCTGACTTGGGTTTTCATAGGATCATTCTGGGCGATGTTGGAGAATAGATGGGAGAGGCAAGCGCAGAAACAGAAAGGCCGCTCTAATAACCAGCTCCTGTGCTGGGCACTGGAAACTGACGAATATATCCGGGTCTAGTGCAGCGATTAATTTCGCTGTGCATCTTAATCTCTCTTGATACTCAGTAAAAACGCGAATTTCAGATCCCATCCCCAGATAACTTGATCTGAGGGTCTGGATTGTGGGTATTGAGCTCTGCCTCCCCTCTCCCTTGATTCTGAATAAGTGGTTCTCGGGGTACAGTTGTAGACTCACTGGGACTTAATTGGTTTCTGATGAATTAACCATCGGGCTTGGCCTTTCCCAGGTTTGTCGACGTCGATAAACTGCACGCGGGGCCTCTGGCTGCAGCCCAGGCGGGTGGCAGAACCCTTCCTGCCCCCAAGCCTTACACAAAGCCGGTCCTCATTCCGCCGGTGCCCTCCTTCTAGGGCACAGGGAGGGCTCGTCAGGGAAGCGGGGACGCGGGGAGTGGAGAGGGGCTGGCGGGAGTCCCGGGAGGAAAGAGGCCGGGTGGGCCCCGCTAACAAAGGGAGGTGTCCTATAAAGGCGGTGGCAGCCGCGGGCGTCCAGGCGAGGGCGCACACGGCCGGCGACAGCGACCAGGACGACGGCGCGGGCTGCTCCAGGCGAGGAGGTGCGCTGAGTCTGGGAGGAAAGTGGGCGCCGCCGGGCGGGGCTGGCGGGCCAGCAGGTCTCCTGCGCAGCCCCGGAGTCCGAGCCGCACGGCCCAGGAGGGCAGGAGTGTGGAGGCCACTTGGTAGCAGCCACCAAGTCAACTCGGTGAGAAGACCTGAGGGCTTTGGGCAGGGCAGGGACGGTGGCGCAGCTCGGGGAGCCTGGCCGGACCCCTAAAGCGTGTTGTCGGGGCTGCTTCACTCTGATACGCGATGCCAGGGACACCCCAGAGCACCCTGAGGGCCGGTCAAGTGGCTCTTGCGTATAGGCGAGCCCCTCCCGGACACCCGGCGGCCCGAAACTTGAGCCAGGAGATGCTTTCCTGGACCCCTGAACTACCATTCCCAAGACAGGGCACTGCAGGCAGGGGCAGGAAAGGTTATAAAAAGAAAAGGGGGAAAGCCGGAAGCGAAGCTGGCAAAGGCAGCAGGTTGGGGTGGGTGCTGGCGTGCACCTTGGAACAGGTGGTTCCCCCAGTGCCCATCCAAAGGCTGGAGTCACGGCAAATGAATTTATTTGGAACATCAACATGCAGAGTTGTCTAAGGAGAACAGCAACCTGCATAATCGTCTATATTCTGATTTTTATAATATATATACGGGATATATAAAGTATATAAGTACACACGAAACTGGCTACTTCTGGGTAATGAGATTACATAGGTAGGTAGGTGGATAAGGAGCCTTTATCGTTTACTTTATGAACTTCTGTACTGTTTGATTATTTTTTCTTAAGTAAGCGTGTATTACTTCTACAAACATTTCCAAAGGCAAAGCTGTGCCTGATGTTGGAGGTTAGGCATCTTCCATGAATGCAACTATATAAACCACCCTTCATCTCCAGCTTTCTGGAGAGTGTTTTTACTTACTTTCAAGAGCAAGATGAAAGAAGAGACAAATACCCAGGACCGAGTGCCAGGAAGAGAAAGGTAAAGTCTTGGGGGGAAAGCTGCGAGTGGATGCGGGGACGGCCGCCACAGGTGTGTCAGCCGTGTGTCCGTGGCTCGTGTTTTCCAGTTGACCTGGCCTGTGTATCCAGGAACCACCAGCATGGAAAAAGCCACAGCTCCTACTGGGGACATGAGTCACCTTCTCTGGGGGCATAATTGTCATTCTTTTCTCTGGTAACCTGCTACCTTCAGTGATGACAAAGGTTTGTTTGCTGTGACCTTCCTCCTGCCCAGCATTCCTTTCCCCGGGCCATGACACCAGCCCA